GCTTCACTTGCCTGCCACTCACCTCCTGCTGTGTGGCCCAGTTCCTAGGCTGTGGATTAGTATTGGTCTATGGCCCAGGGATTGGGGACTCCTGATTTATTTTTAATTTTTTTAAAAAATTTAAGTATAGTTGAATTAAAGTGTGTTACCTACTGCTATACAGCAAAGTGACTCAGTTATACATATAAACACACACATACACATATATATATATACACTATTTGTCATATTCTTTTCCATTTCGGTTTATCACAGGATGTTGAATATAATTCCCTGTGTTATACATCAGTTGCTCAGTCATGTCCAACTTTTTGTGACCTCATGGACTGTAGCCCACCATGCTCCTCTGTCCTTGGGATTTTCCAGGAAAGAATACTGGAGTGGATTGCCATTTCCTCCTCCAGGGGATCTTCCCGACCCAGGGATAGAACCTATGTCTCCTACATCTCCTACACTGGCAAATGGATCCTTTACCACTGTTCCAAATGGAAAGCTTGTGCTATACAGTAGGACCTTGTTATTTATCCATTCTATATATACCAGTGTGCATCTACTCATCCCAAACTCCCAATGAAACACTCTCACACCTCCCTTCTGCTTGGTAACCTCTTTATGTCCCTGATTTTTGTTTCTGTTTCATAGGTAAGTTCACCAGTGTCATATTTTAGATTCCATGTTTAAGTGATAGCATATGGTATCTGTCTTTCTCTTTCTGATTTACATCACTTAGTATGATAATCTCTAGTTGCATCCATGTCACTGCAAATGGTGTTACTTTGTTCTTTTTATGGCTGAGTAGTATTCCATTGTATATATGAACCATATCTTCTCAAAACTACAGTGAGGTACTACCTCATGCCAGTCAGAATGGCCATTGTTAAAAAGCCTGCAAATAACAAACGCTTAAGAGGGTATGGAGAAAAGGGAACCCTCCTACACTGTTGGTAGGAATGTAGTTGGTGCAACCACTGTGAAAAACAATATGGAGGTTACTCAGAAAATTAAAAATAGCATTACCATATGATCTATCAATCCCACTCCTGGGCATATATCCAGACAAAACTACAATTCAAAAGATACATGCACTCCTATGTTCACAGCAGCACTGTTCGCAATAGCCAAGACTTGGGAGAGCAGAAATTTTTAAAACACATGCTCCTTTCTTTAGGAAAACAGATTCTGCACAAAGAAGTCGGGGGTGGAGAGTGAACTTTCTGTGATGGGTCAGACGTTTTTATATACACTTTCCCTTTTAGTCTTCATGACAACAACAGAAGCAGTGATCACTGTTGATCTGCGATAAGTAGCAATCGTTATTACAGTCATTTTTACCTTGAGAAAGCTGAGGCTCCAGGCAGTAGCCACTTTGCCCAAAGCCAAACAGCTAGTAAAGTCTAGAAGGTAAAATGAGATTCACGTCTGTGAAATCTGTGATTTAAAATAAACAAACCTATTCACATTGCGGCTCAAAAGAAATGAATTCATAGGAGAGCTGAAGCGGAATGCAGCTGGAGGAATGGTTGGTGCCTTTGACTGGGGCGGGGTCGGGGGGGACCACTTCTGGTGTTTGGGAGAGCAATGTGCTGCTGGGGCTGAGATCCTGATTGCAGGAGGTGAAAGTGAAAGCAGCAGAGGAAGCCAGATGTAGTGATGCAGGCCACTTCTTTAAGAATTTCAGGAGCACAGAAGTGTAGTAGATTATCGATGCTATTTAATATTGAGTTTTCTTAATGCATTTTTTGATAATGTCTAGAAAGATGGTCAAGTCATGATGCCAAGAAGGAAGATGTTCATTCTCTAAAATGGCTAGATTTAAAATTCTGATTTCTCAACTGTTTTTGGTTTTTTTTGCGGGGTGGAGGGTAAGCCGACCTTACCACGGGATAATTCCCAAGAGTTTTTTTAAAAAATCAATGAGCTGAGATAGCTCAATTACCTGACACATAATCTGTTGGACTCTGTTGTAAGGGCCTTTTATTATGTGTTTTCTTTAAGGTTTTTTTTTTTTTTTTACTAACGATGACAGCAGATGATATAGCATTGACCCTTCCATTTAAGGTGCCAATGTATTTAGGACTGAATCATTGTATTTCTTGTGATGTATGACAACAGCATCAGATCATATAGAATTTTTTCTTTTAATGAAGAAAAAAAGGAAGGTATCAGTTAACTTTTGTTTGGGGAAAATTTTTCTCTATTGATTTTTGGAAAAGTTTCCTGCTGACATTTCTAGAGTTAACTGAACATTCAGTAATTTGCAACTAGTACTGACTATACTTGCTGCAGCTGCTAATGAATATTTTATAAAGTAAGAGGAAGATATTAGGTCTCGATTTGGATGTCCGCCAAGTCTAAATTTCTCACCTTGTTGTAGCTCAGGTTCAGCCCCACTTTTTCAGCTGCCCTAGGCAAGCTACAACTGAATGTTACGTTATTAACTTAAATTCAACAAGTGCAAAATCAAATTTAGTATTTTAGTCTTAATTCTTCCTGCTGCATTTATTTTTGCTATAAGGACCATTGATTGAGTTGAGTTGAGTTGAGTTGAGTTCAGTCACTCAGTCATGTCCAACACTTTGCGACCTCATGGACTGCAGTATGCCAGGCTTCCCTGTCCATCACCAACTCTTGGAGCTTGCTCAAACTCATGTCCATCAAGTTGGCTATACTATTCAACATTCTCATACTCTGTCTCCCCTTCTTCCCCTGTGTTCAAGAGTCTTCTCCAACACCAATGTTCAAAAGAATCAAGTTCAACGTTCTTTATAGTCCAACTTTCAAATCCATACATGACTACTGGAAAAACCATAGCTTTGACTAAACGGACCTTTGTGAACAAAGTAATATCTCTGTTTTTTAATATGTTGCCTAGGTTGGTCATGGCTTTTCCTCCAAGAAGCAAGTGGCTTTTAATTTCATGGCTGCAGTCACCATCTGCAGTCATTTTGGAGCCCCCCAAATAAAGTGTGTCTCAGCATTGCATTTCTTTGGAACTGGAAAGAAAACAGACCTTTCCCAGTCCTGCGGCCACTGCTGAGTTTTCCAAATTTGCTGACATACCGAGTGCAGCACTTTCACAGCATCGTCTTTTAGAATTTGAAATAGCTCAACTGGAATTCCATCACCTCCACTAGCTTTATTCATGGTGATGCTTCCTAAGACCCATTTGACTTCTCACTTCAGGATGCCTGGCTCTAGGTGAGTGATCAAACCATCATGGTTATCTGGGTCATTATGATCTTTTTTATATAGTTCTGTGTATTCTTGCCACCTCTCCTTAATAACGTCAGCTTGTTAGATCCATACCATTTCTGTCCTTTATTGTGCCCATCTTTGCATGAAATATTCCTTTGGTATCTCTAAGTTTCTTGAAGAGATCTCTAGTCTTTCTCATTCTATTGTTTTCCTCTATTTCTTTGCACTGATCACTGAGGAAAGCTTTCTTATCTCTCCTTGCTATTCTTTGGAATGCTGCATTCAAATGGGAATATCTTTCCTTTTCTCCTTTGCCCTTAGCTTCTCTTCTTTTCTCAGGTATTTGTAAGGCCTCCTGAGACAACCATTTTGCCTTTTTGCACTTCTTTTTCTCGGGGATGGTTTTGATTACCACCTCCTGTACAATGTCACAAACTTCCATCCATAGTTCCTTAAACACTTTGTCTATCAGATCTACTCCCTTGAAACTATTTTTCATCTATTTCTTCACATTGATCACTGAGTTACTCAGACTCGAACTTTCAATTGCAATCACAGGAGCTACAATCATAGGGCTTCCTTTCAGGTTTGGGGCTGTGAAGAGCTTCATAAATGTATGGATTTAATTCTCACCAAGACCCTGTGAGGTAGGTACCAGCACTATCACTTCACTAAGATGGGGAAGCTGCAGCTTAGTGTGGTTGGTAATTTACTCAAGATCACTTAACTATTGGCTGGAATGGTAGGATTCAGACTTGACTATGTAAACATCAGAGCTTGAAACTTTTAATCGCCTTGTCACTTTGTCTTAGCTCTGACTCTTTTCTCTTTTCCTGATCATGTAGACTTAGTCCCTAAAATGTTCATACAACTGTACTCTCCTTTAAATTTCAATGCCACTGAGGAGCTCAGCCCCTCATTACCTCTTACCTCTCCTAAGTGGTCTTCCTGCTCTTTACTGATGGATTCATCTTCTTAAAGAGTCAGTCGTTAGCCTAACAAAAAGCCTTTGATTGCTACCCATGGTCTGCCATTTTCTTACTCAGGCTTTCAGGATATCAGTCTTAGTTTTGACCACTTATCTTCAAGAACACTGTGTTTTATCCAGTCTAGACTTCTTTCTGTATTCTGAACTTCTGTGTCTGTTGAAATTCTACTTGTCACCTTCACAGTCTAGATAAGTGCTTCTTCCTCCATGAAGCCTTCCTTGATTCCTTTAATCATATAAAGATATTTTGGACTTTCCTTATGAAAACATATTCTAGACTTGACTGTGGTCAGTTGTATAGTTATCACCCCTAGAGTATCCTAGTTCTTCTAGGGTTGAACTCTGTGTTACTATCACCTTTTTGATTGGTAGTTATGTAGTACAGTAGTATCAATGTACATTATTCTTGCTTGAAAAGTTCAGGTGTATTATATTTTATTGTTAGATGGTGTCAGGATATGTGGTCCACTTACTCAAGATGTTTTCAATACAGTAAGTGGAAAAAACTCATTCAAAAATCAGTTAGAGGAGAATCAGGGTCTCAGCTATGATGGCGGTGAAAGAAGAGAGAGAATGTGAGGGAAGAATAAATGGAGAAGGATTTAGAGAAAAGGTGAGAGCCGAGTTTAATGCCGAAAAGTGCAAGAAGCTTCTGTAGTCTAGGGAGGGTGTTCTAAGGTGGGGATGAGCATAACTGAAGGCTGTGAGGTAGGGATGGCACTTTAGGAATGTCTATTGAGAAGAAAAATACCCAGAAAGTTCAGTGGGCTTCAAAGTAAAACAATTCAGTCAAATTTAGTGTCATTTCTTTATTTTTTAAATGTTCATTTTAAAATTGAGATACAATTGACACAACATTGTATAAATTTAAGGTGAACAACATGTTAACTTGATACATTTATAGATTGGAAGAGGTGTTAGCTGACACATCTATCAAAAGTTCCCATCACAAAACTGTGTTTTACTAACCAGCATTCCTCCAAGATAGTCACAACTAGTGAACTTTTATTATATGTTCTTATGTTGTTATATAATTGCTAAAATTCATCACTGACTATCTGAATTACAGTATATGGCAATATGCTGGCAAACTCCTTCCTTTTTTGCTTTTTAACTGCCATCATGTTGTAAGGTTTTGAATCCTAACACAGCCTAGGACAGGTGGTAAGAAATTACCTCATGGTTGAGATTTTATAACTAAAAAATAAGGCAATTTTTATAGTGGACTTCCTACATACTAAACAAAATTTTCTTCATATGATTTATTTATGCAAAATTGCTGTATGATTTCCCCTGCTATTGTTCTAAGAGGGGAGATATTCATAAATGGGCAAAGAAAATAGAAAATTCATTTACGTACTGTACTTAATGATCTAATGCAGATTCCAAACTGGCTATGGAGATTGACAAATCTTGGTTGTGATAAATTATTATACAGAAGTATTCCCACTAAGGCACTAACAGAAAAAAACAATGAAAACTGACAAATTCATTTTGAAATGCTACCTTAAACGCCAGAACAAAGAGAAGAAAAGGGATTTTAAAAGTACACTTAAAACATATGCATTGTCTTGAGGGAAAAATAAGACATCAGTACATAACTATAAAGCACTGACTGCTTGCCCATTTGTTAAATTCGTTTTGATATGAATTACACATCATTTTTTCCTTAGGAGTATAGAGTTGCTAATTTTCTCCATATGTGTACAATTCCTCTTTAACCTTTAACAAATGTCCTCTAGGCGGTCCACTTACCATCCAAGAACAACGCCACTCACAATTTTACATGCATACAAAGAGCTGGAAACCCCATAAAAATAAATGATCCGTGGTACAAGCTACATTAACCCACAGAATAATAAGCTAGTGCAGCCCTATAAATTTTAGTGCCATCCATTCAAAACCACACTGGGTCACTTTAGTATTAAATTCATAGGAACAAAACAGTAAATACACATGTTTTATTTGTTAAGCTGCCAGCTATATACTTTGTGTAAAAGTTTGTTAGCCCAGGAAAAGCTATTGAAAGGTATATCAGGCAGTGTATATTTAAAAGCAGTCTCTTTCCAATACATGAATTTATGTGTTACAGACACACTTACCATTAAGCATCATGTATATTTAATATCACAACCTCTACCTCAGTGTGCTAAAAAGCCTTTGTTCATTTGTTGTTTCCATTATTGAAGAGCTAATATTCAGTTCTCCCACAATTTTGTAAAGTGCAGGCAGCCCACAAGAGCTTCTAGTTTTAGCTTGCAGTCCCGTGGGACTACCATAATTGTTATGAAATCATTAATTCTACCTCAGCAGTTTCAACTGTCAGGTACGTATAACAAAAATTGCAGTTAATGAATGCTGCTCAATTTATTAAGTGCAAGATGAAAACCAGTATTCTTTTATATGCAGCACTGAGAATAGTAACATTGATCATTTGTGTATACCATATTGGATAGTCTACCATCATTTATTGGTCAGGGTATATAACCATATATTTTTTAAAAAGCTCTTCATTAAAAAACAATGGAGGGAATTCTAATTCCTAATGAAATTCCTAACTCTCTAATGAAAGCATAATTAAAATAATTAGTACCCAAAGTAATATGTAATAAGAATCTATGTCTATGAAAAAACAATCCAGGAGAACCAAGACTTCATTTCTCCTTTGGATAAACAAGATTCTTTCTAGTGCCATATTCTCTCCCCTAATTCTTACAAGAGTATGAAAAAGTCTGCAAACTTCCAGTTGTTTGAAATATTAGTGTTGTGTCTTTCTCTAATGTTTGGGCAGTGAAACTTGTGTACATAGATACCTTATATCTTGATTTAAAGAGTATGAACTAGAATTTGTTTTCAATCATTCAAAGTAAACTGTGTAGACATTTGCAAGAGCAAAGAGAGAAGAATTTCTGAAAATGAAAGATGCAAAGGCATCATTTTTAGGATCCCAAAGGCATCTGCTTCCAATCAGTATGCTCTGGCCCGTCAGTTGTCCAATGTAGACGATCACAATTAGCTTATATCGTGGGATCATCAAGTCCTTTACCTGGGCTTTAATAACCTAGAAATTAAAGGGAAAAACAAAATGTCCTCACTTAGTCACATTGAAGTTTAAAAGTCTTAATTTTTCTCATAAATATAGTGGATTTAATTGAAGAAAATGGCACGATACCTTGTGGATCCTTTCAGTAATTGCTATAGAAAGGTAGCTATAATTTCCTTCAAGCACAAGACAGGACATAAAGGGACAAAATGATAGTCCCAGTGAGAAATCTACCTATTCTAAGGCAGACGGCAAAATAATAATCCAGAGAACAGAGCTTTCAATGCATTTATTGTGTTCTTGGAAAATCTATGTTGAAATGGCTTCCCTTCAAAGAATGTTGGCATTACAATTATACCATCTTATTCATGTCTAATTAAGGGACTATAAATCTGAAGTCTCCTGTAATATGACTAATTGTGAATGCTTATTAGATACATTATAATGAAAAAGAAAGAGAAAATTTTATGGAGTGCCAGCACTTTAGTTGATAAAAATAGAAATGTTTTTAAAGGCCCCAATATTTTTATTTGATGGCATTGCAAAGCAGGTGCTTTGGAGAAGGAACAGGCTACCCACTCCAGTGTTCCTGGGCTTCCCTTGTGCCTCAGCTGGTAAAGAATCCACCTGCAATGTGGGAGACCGGGGTTCGATCCCTGGATTGGGAAAATCCCCTGGAGAAGGGAAAGGCTACCCACTCCAGTATTCTGGCCTGGAGAATTCCATGGACGAGTCCATGGGGTCACAGAGTCAGACATGACTGAGTGACTTTCACTTCACTTCAAAGAAGGTGCTTTGGGAAAGAGAAAGTGATCATTAAAATATTGTATCTTTTATAATAACATTTTTTAAATAAATGGGGCAGTTTTATACATTTCTAAAACAGAATACATGCAAGTGATGCACATAATAATTGTTTTATACAAGGCTTTTTACACACACAGACACACATGGACTATGACCTAATAAATATTTTCATAAGATAAAAATAAACAGTTTTACTGCTACTGCAAATTAATTGCTTTCATTAAAATAGGCGGGTTGTGCTTTCAGCAAATATTCTAGTCATAGTTAGCACTTTAGGAAATCACACATATACCTCAGAAATTGTTTTAGTCATCTGTCTACAGAGTTCCGGTTCATACTGTTCTTCTTGTAGGTAGGTAGTTAACACATCTTTCAGAATATGATTGACAATGACCACAGGAAAATATTTGGTAGGACCTGAAAATACAGACAAAATTTCTTTCAAAGAAGTAATTTCAAATCATATCTGCCCATGCCATAGCTTAATCAAAAGAGTATCAAAACATGGAGGCATTTAATCTTCTGAGTTGCCTCTATTGAAAGAAAGAAAGTGGTCCCAATAAGATTTCCAGTCAAATTCTCTGGTAGAGGACAAGAAGATGGGATTCATCTGTTTACCAGATATCTCAAGAGTGTGTTCAGTACCATAGAGTCTGACATTGAATGTATCCTACTTCCCAGTTCCCACTGTCTGCATGCTCAATTGCTCAGTTGTGTCTGACTCTTTGGGAGTCTATGGACTGTAGCCCTTCATTAAAGGGCTCCTCTGTCCAAGGGATTTCCCAGGCAAGAATACTGGAGTGGGTTGCCATTTCCTACTCCAGGGGATCTTCCTGATCCAGGGATCTAACCCCTATCTCTTGTGTCTCCTGCATTGGCAAGCAGATTCTTTACCACTGTGCCACCGGGGAAGCCTCCACCAGTTCCCAAGGCTGATAACTCATTTCAGTGTCTTAACATCTTTCTAACTGACCCCCAGCTCTTAAGTTCCCTACCTCCAATCTCTCTGTAACACTACATCTGGAGTTGTAACACCCAGATGTTACCACTGTGTTTTCCTTGGCAAAGTCTAGAGTTCAGCTCCTATCCAACCTACAGCTTCTTCTTCAACCACCACAGGCCTTCACATGACTGCTGCTCCAGCTTCATGGAGTTCATCTGTTCTGTCAAGAGTGCTCGTGTCCATTTGCTCCTCTTTCAAAATGCAACACTCTTCCCCATCCTGTTCATTCGAGAAAAACCCACTCATGTTCAAGGCCAGCTCAAACATCTTCTCCATTTAGCCTTCCTCCTCTCCTCAGGTAAAAATTACCTCTCTCTTTTCTATATTCCCAATGCTCTGGGTCTCCACTGCTATTGTGGCTCCTTATTCAGCCTGATAATTGCCAAGGCTTACCTTACCTTTCTTCTCTGAACTGGTAAACAAGATTATGTTTTGTCTTCCTCAAGGTCTAACACAATGCTAAAGGCAGAAAAAAATGTTCAAGGTCTGATTTCTGGGTTTAAATAGAATTAAACATTTTCTAGATAATAGCCATAGTACAAATAATAGCTACTCTTATTGAGCATTTTCTACATGCCAGCCACTGTGATAGTGTGTGTGTTAGTTGCACAGTCACGTGCGACTCTTTGTGACCCCATGAAGCCCTCTTTCCATGGGATTTCCCAGGCAAGAATACTGGAGTAGGTTGCCATTTCCTTCTCCAGAGGATCTTCCCAACCCCAGGGGTTGAACCCAGGTCTCCTGCACTGGAGATTCTTTACTTGTATGAGCTACCAGGGAAGCCCCTCTGTGACAAGTACATTATTACCTTATATGTATAATTTTCCAATAAATCTCTGGGGGTAAATCTTATTGTCACCTCTATTTCACAGAGGGGAGAACAGATGTTTAAATATATCGACTAACTTACCTAGAATCACAGTGTCAGGGTTGCGTACCTTCCTGGTTTATCTGACTTGAGAGCTTAAATTCTTAACTACATTTAGTCCACTTTCAGAGCAACAGCTTTAGCTGCATCTTATTCTGCACCCCAGGAATCTTACTTGCACCCCCCCCAAAGGAATATTAACCTTATCACTAACCTCTGTCATTGAATAACATGTTCATGTGCCCAGGGCCCGGTATACAGAGGCTTGATCATTATTTGCTGAGTTGATATGGATGAAGAATTCTATCCAATTCTATTTTCAATAGTCATCAGTATCTTTTAAGTGTTTATTTTCAATGACTGTATCAGTCAGGGTCTAAGGAAATATATCGCACATTAAAGTTAGGACAATTCCCAGAGGATTTAATAAACAGACTCCTTAGGGAGGTCTGAGCAGGATGCAGGGAATCTTGCAGGAATGTGCCAGCCCCCTCAGCTGGTGAAAAAGAAGGTGCTACTTTCATCCCAACCTGAGGAGGGATCCCAGAAGAGCCCTGTGGAAAGGGCTCCCTCCACAGCAGCCTCCGTCCTTCTGCTGATGGATGCAAAGAGCACAAGGCGAGACCTTAGGCGGGGTTCACACTCCTCTCTTCTGACTTCCCACCGATGTTTCCCAGTGGCTAAACTTAACCAGAAGGTGACACCCCGCACCTAGAATTCAGTTAGGTCAACCTCCTGGGGCTCAATTTATAGTATTTTTATTGTGATGCTTATATAGGAATGGTTCAATTAAATTTAAATCAGCCTGGGAAATGAATCCATGAATCCGGACAAGTAAAATAAAGATATCGGAGACAATGAGTATGATAATTAACCCAAATATTTAGTCAGCAGGAATCTCTCCCCTCTACAGGAGAGAGACAAGCAGTCATAAACCCTCGAAGGGTTGGTCCTGATTGCTCTTGCTTTGTGGAATCAGAGATGGAGCTCCAGCCCCCCTAGGCCAAACACCTACTGTGTCATTGTCCTGTGGATCTTTTAGAAGGTTTCCATTTGCTTATGATAGTGAGACGAGGCTAAATGTGAGGGTGGTTTTGCTGTTTCTGTTTGAAAAATTTAAAAAATGTTCCTACCAGGTTGGACTAAATTAAACAGATTATATCTTTTAGATTGGTACCTCTCCTTTTCATTCCCTCCTGCCAAGCACTCATATCACATTTACCGAAGCTTGACCTGTATCACCCATGGGGAGCACTGGTCCTTTAAGAAAATACTAAATTCCTTCAGTGCATGTACTTGTCCAGCTGGTACACCTCCCTGTCCTTTGGGAACAGCGTCTCCCAAATGGAAGGGACTGGTCCTCTTCCCACCCTAACCATGTGGTTCTTTAGGATCATCATCTCTTTTGAGTCCAAGTCCAGGCCATGGTTGATCGGCGCTGGGTGGACTTACCCCAAGCTAGGCCAATTAGAATCCTTTCTTGGAACTTTTATATTAAACTAGAACTAGGTAAAAAAAAGTTGTCAGTCTCTTTTTGGAGTCAAAAGTTAAGACACGTGACTCTCAGGAACTCTTTCTCACAGTGAGAAGGAAGCCAAGCCACAGTGAGAAAGGGAGCCACACACAGTTCAGGGCTAGAAAAGTGGAGTCCTGGCTGCTCCCGCTCCCAGTTTCCAATAGCGCCTGCTGTCCGGCTGCACCAATGCCCTTTCTGCACTTACCTTAGATTTTTAAAAAAATCTCATTAACCAGATTCAATTCCGAAAAAAGTTTAAATAGTAAACTTTTCTCCTCTCACTTCTTTGTGACCGTGGCCCTATACAGCAGAATCATCCATTGTCTTACTCAGGCTTGGATGCTGAGACACAGAGAGTCAATAATCAGCATCTGACTCCCAAAATGGGCTTCCCTGGTGGCTCAGAAGGTAAAGAATCCGTCCGCAATGTGGAAGACCTGGGTTCGATCTCTGGGTTGGGAAGCTCCCCTGGAGAGGGGCATGGCAACCCACTCCAGTGTTCTTGCCTGGAGAATTCCACGGACAGAGGAGCCTGGCGGGCTACAGTCCATGGGGTCCCAAAGAGTTGGACACGACTGAGTGACTTTCACTCACTCACTGACTTCCAAAACAAGCTCCCAAAACTTTCAGAGTCAACTAATGCAAAGGCCTAATTCTTTTTTCTTTTCTAGAGCAATTTTTTTTCTAATTTAGGAGGAAAAATGCTTTTAGAAATCAAATTGCAAAGATCTGAAGAAGGATCAGGATGGAGAAAAGAGAGGAAGACTTATCTGTAAAAACAGATTTAAGAGAGAATAGATAGAAATTTGATTAGTTAACATATCTGTGTCTTAACTTCCCAAACTGGGATAGTGATGAGAATCACCACCTACTCAGAACAGTGAGTCTGCCACACAAAAAACTACTCATTGGATCTTTTTTATAGTGTTGCTGCTGTTATTGTTGCTTCTTCATTGCAAGCAGACAGAAGGCAGCAGGATGGACGATGGTGTAAGGCGGGAGATGGTTTCGGTCTCCACAGGTGGGAAGGACCGTATATGGTGGAGCAAAGTCAGCAATGAAATACTGGCAGGCTCTCTGTCCAACAAATCATCTGGTGACAGGGCCTGATCATCTCATGGGAGTTGAGCTCAAGTGTCTTTCTCTCGCCATCTCTCGGTTCTATTTTTCACTATATTGGCTGCATTCTCAGGTGCCCTGTCTCGATGTGTCAGCAAGGATGGCCATCTACAGCCCTGTGTGATGTGGGGATTACAGTCAGTGAATCGGGTACCTCTATAAGTCACTGCTCCAGAAAAAGTCCTGTGAGGAACTCATTCCATACTCGAGAGGAAGTTATATTGGATGTCATGCAAGGTTTTTCTTCTTAGTGATCGAAGGTGATGTTCTTTAGTCAGAGGCAATAACATACTGAATGGGAAGCAGTTTAAATACAATACTTTGTTTAATTCTCATAGTATCCCTAACCAAGTGTGACCTATGATCCCTACTTACAGAGGAAGAAACTGAGGTTCAAGGATGCTGAATACCTTGCTCAAACATTATTTATTTAGGAATGGGCAAAACAAGTATTCAGACTCATGTACATTGGCCCCTGCAGTCAGTATTTTCTGCTGTACTCATGTTTAAGTAATCAATTAATGGGAAGAGATAAGGGGCTTTTAATTGTAAGAAATATATTCTCATTCTTCCCTTTCCTTTTTTCTTTAATTATACTCATGTTTAATCTCATTTTTGGTGGCTATAGTTACTCAGATAAAGGGAGGACAACCATTCTAAACATCTAAGATATGTTTAAGTGATGCACATATTATTGGGTAGAATGTGAAAACTTAAAACACAGTAATATTGGTGACTGAAATTTCTCTTACTCTTCTAGTCAGTATTTACTGTCTTGCCAAAGGCCCACAGAGTACCTTTCAGATGCAAAATAAACCCAGAAACAAGTAGAAGTGGAAATACATATTTGATTATTAACAAAATAGCTACCTGGAACCTTATAAAATGGATTGTCAAGCACAAAAGACTAATCATAGAAGAATAATTTGCACAACTTTTTGAAAGGAAATATGGAAACTATTTTTTTCTATACTAAGGTATTTTAAAAATTATTTTTCTAACTTGGTTCAGCACTCAGAACTGATGAGACAATTTAGCTTATTTGAGGAAATAAGTTATGAAAGCACATATTTTTGAATAAATGCGGGGCTTCGTATTTCAAATGCTGTATCTTGTTGAAATCAGATTCAAGTCCTTCTAGCATGCAGAGCTAGGAGGCACTGAATGGTGAAGATCTTTTAGTTACAAGAAAACTTGACCCATATTGACATCCAATATAACTTGCCTAAATAAAAAGTCTAAGAGTACAAAGGGTATTTAGGACTTGGTCTCAGGCTTTGTGTGGGGGCAAGATGGCAAAAGCTGCCATAGAGCTTACAACCTTTCAGGTTTCAGAGGCTGATCCACTTCTTCAATAGCCCAAACAATGTTCTCTGAATTGCCTCTCAAAGGCTTTTGCCGGGAGCCAACACACGAGATCCCACCCATGACAAGGTCAGGAGGAGAAAACCTGACAGGCAAGGCGGATCAGGTTTTCAGGGATTCCGAAAAGCTGCCCCCGGCGCTCACCTTAAAGATGATATCTGTCTTTCTGATGCTTGCTTCAATAGACTACTCCCTAATTTCTGTGACACAGGCAGAAGGCCTTCCCTGATCTCTTTCCAAATAAGAATCAATTTAGAACTTTAATCAATAAGTTTCCTGGGTGGTGGTATTTTATGAGATCATCCAGGGTAAAAGGAGTGTTTCAATTTAAACTCCTTTGCTGGCATTCTAGTTTGTTTAGCAAATGTGTCTATGCCCTTAGTACTAATGTGCATGACTGCTTATAATACCCTAATCATAAAACAGCATAAAGAACCTGATCATATAAAGGCCCTAATAGACATAGAGCCCTTCGGGGAGTGAGGAAGGCCTATTAGAAAACACACAAAAAATTATTCTAAAAGTGGTTATTGGGTTAACATTTGCTTGCTGTGTTTTTGTTCTTAATGTGGTAAGGTTGTGCAGTGGAAACCATTGTTAATATAGTTAAAGATCTAGAAAAATAAGAGCTTAGCCCTAGTGTGGTAACAATGAGATGGTTGTTAATTGTCAGCCAGGAGTGCTAGGCAGAGACTGCCTCACTGAAGCCGCAGTCTGTGTGGGGTAAACCTCTTAGATAAATTCAACTGACAACTTCTGCAGAAGAATTGACTTTTATGTTAACAAGGTTATACTTCTACTATGTTGTGACATGCTGTACTGTTGCCCTATGAGACTGTAACTTTTCTGTTAAGATCACCACAGAAACAAAAAATAGGTTTACATTCACCTGACTTGCATAAAATGTTAATAGGCCCCAAGGCCAGAAGATAATGTACAAGACCCTCATAAACAAGTATGCAGAAAACACCCTGGTTTCGTGAAGGACAAGCTGATGTAATGTTAAACTATCTTCTCCTTAGAAATGTACTAACTTAGGGTATAAAAGCTATGGTGAAAAATAAAGCAAGGCCAGACTATGCTGCACACCCCCAGTCTGGTCTCTCTCTCTCTCTCTCTCTCTCGCCGACGCCGTTCATCCTGAGGGTACCCCTGGATCCTGCCAGGGCTGGACCCTGGCAGGCTTTGATGACCTTGACCAAATCCCCAGGTCAGTCACTGTTACATCTCCGAAGCCAGGGTCAGCTTCAGCAGGATGCTGTGGACCAAAAGTGATAATAATGGCAGTGGTGGTGCTTCCCCAAAGGAAACTGGGTAACGCTATCAGATGGAGTATAAGGGTATATTGAATGGCAGGATATTATGTCTACCATAGGCACTGTGAAAATACCAGTGGACAGGCTAATTATGGAGCTTTACAATCCATGTCATCTTGGGGGTTACCATAGAAAACTGCCTAGAAGGTCTAATGGGATGTGTTGATAGTCTGTAATTTTCTTGAGGTTAACCGGCCACAGATTAAGTCACTCTGGCCCATTGCGTCTTCCTTTGGTTATTGGTAAGTCTCTGTGGAATTTCTACACAGCAATAATTATATGTAGATCCAGATAATAGTGGGCAGGTATACATTTGGAGCAAACAAGCAGTTCTGTGAGAAAACATGAGGGGGAATGATAGTCACTGTGGATTCCACCTGGTATTCAGGGGCAGGTGCAAGGATTTTTGTTTTCAAAGACCCAAAACCTCTTTGGGAAAAGATAAGCATCTCTGTCAACAGGGGACCAGGAATCATTTGCTTCTGCCTTGAAGGCTTTTTTCTCCATCCACTAACAATCTTGGTTGGTTTTGTTCAATAAAATCTTAATGTCTATCTGTTTCATTTAACTCAAGTAGATGCAAAAAACTCCACAAGATAACCTTGAGATACCCAATGAACTTCTTAATTCAGTAACACACACTACACCTCAGTTGCAGCCAATGAATTGCTTGGTATTTAGAAAATACTGATTAAAAAAACAGTAAACAATAGGTACTGGCCCCATTTTGCAGAGGAAGAAATTAAAGCAATATCAAATTACCCAATTAATTAAGATCCCTTATATTGTGGTAGTATTGAAGATGATGCCAGGTTGTCAGATATTATTTTGAGTAAATATCACTCATGAAATTAGAAGTTTTAAATAGGAAGGAGTGATAAAATAACACACCCAGTTGGTAAGTGTTTTCCATGTGAACTGTGAGGCGAGAGGCATCTTCAGGCTGGCAAGGTTCATCCATATAAGACACTGTACTCATAGAGCTAAAAGCAAGGAGAAAGCAAATTTTAACAGTTATGGTAACAATGCTGCTTTTAGCAAAAAAGTTACAGAAGTTTTTCCCTAAAAAGAAATTTCAAGCAAGTCCCATGGAGATATATCCCGGTAAAATATTTAAAGTCTAAAACATTTTAGAGATGGAAATATTACTGGTGTAGAGAAGTTACTTGGAGCAAGTCTCAAGATAGCGGTAGAAACCCAGTTCAGTGCCTGGGGCCTTTGATTATCATGAAAGTATTCATGGATTGTTCCATTCGCAGGGTAACAGAGTTTGTACAGTGGGCCCTCCACATCTGTGGATTCTAGAGTCATGGATTTTGTTTGGTTAAATCCATGGATATGGAACCTGTGGATATGGAGGACCAGCTGTATTTCACCACTTTATATGAGGGACTTGGGCTTCCCTGGTGACTCAGTGGTAAAGAACCTGCCTACTAATGCAGAAGATGCAGGTTTGATCCCTGGGTCTGGAAGATGTTCTGGAGCAGGAAATGGCATCCCACTCCAGTATACTTGCCTGGAAAATCCCATGGACAGAGTGGCCTGGTGGGTTACAGTCCATGGGGTCGCAAAAGAGTTGGATACGACTTAGTGACTAAACACAACAACAACAAAAATAAGAAACTTGAGCATCCACAGGTTTTGATATCCATGGGGGCTTTTGGAACCAATATTCAGTAGATACCAAGGGATGCCTGTACGTGTTTTGAAAGCTATTGGCAGTGTATATGCTTCACGTTACTCTCTTCATATACACTTTGTTGTTGTTCAGTCACCCAGTTGTGTCTGACTTTTTGCGATCCCATGGACTGCAGCATGCCAGGCCTCTCTGTCCCTCACCATCTCCCAAAGTTCGCCCAAGTTCATGTTCGTTGCATTGGTGATGCCATCCGGCCATCTCATCCTCTGACACCCTCTTCTCCTGCCCTCAATATTCTTCATATATACTACTGTATGTAAAGTAGATAGACCACGGAAATTTGCCGCATAATTCAGGGAACTCAAACTGGGGCTCGGTAACAACCTAGAGGGGTGGGAAAGGGTGGGAGGGAGGCCAAAGGAGGGGACATATGTACACCTCTGGCTAATTTATGCTGATAAACGGCAGAAGTCAAACCAACACTGTAAAGCAAATTATCCTTCAATTAAAAATAAACACATTTTACAAAAGGAGACTGTCTCAACAAAAAAACAAAGAACTATTGGCAATTACCTCTATGACAGATGCAAAGGCTTTCCTCAAAGTGGACAAAACTCACAAAGGGACTGGGGATTATATAAGGAAGCTTAAAATGTTGGGAAACAAGTTCTCTGCATACATGGGTGATTATTAAGAGTTTATTATTAAACGTACCTCACAAAATCCCTTTAGCGGAAGAAAGAAAATGGAGAAACCCCTCTATATGACGACAGAAACCGCAATTCACCCAAACTGTCATACTCAATAAGCATCAATCACCCTATTCAACATTAAGAAAGGGTTTTGTCTTGGTTACCAAGGCAATATAAGCTTATCCAGGTGCTGAACAGGAGACCCAAGTGAAGAGGAACTCCTAAAATCCCTACAGCACTGCTTAATCAGAGGAAATTCAGCTGTCACTAATGGCAGTCTCAGATCTCTACCCCAATTCCCTCCACCTGTGAAAATGGAGGTTAAACAGATGTCATTTCAAAGGATATGATATAATACTGTGTGTGTGTGTGTGTGTGTGTGTGTGTGCGTGCGCGCGCGCATGTGTACTTTCAGAGTGACTACTTTTCTAAGAGGCTACACTTTTGCTTTAATTATGGGAATAAGGCATTAGTTTTTAATCTTTGGGGATGTTTTTCTCTCTGCAAGGAGTTTTAAATACTTAACTCTGAGCTGTTGGGAATTAGTGAGCTTCTTGCAAATTGCTATTTTAAGAAAATCACGGACATTATATTTTAAAAATCCTTTAATACAATACAATTTACACAATAAATTAAGGTTTACCCATCCAGCCCAAGAAAGTGATGTAAGACATTATTATGGCTGCTTTTCCATGAGGGATTTCTGGATTAGAGTTAGTCTTCATTCTTGTAACACCTGCTTTCCTCAATTTTCTGCTGCCCTTTGAAGTAGCAACCAACCTGTTTAGCCACACTGGCTGCAGGTGTTGTGGGCAGCACCAAAGATGATAGCTTCTGCTTAGAAAACCCAATGTTGCATAAGCCCCTTGATTCTAAGATAAGCCAGGCTGCCCCAATATTGTATATGCTGCTTTTTATTTTCCAAAACATTTTCCATCAATTATCTCATTTTAACTTTAAAATATTCACTTTAAGTAAGTAAGAAAGTCATTTTTCTGCCCATTTCAGTGATAAACAGAACTAGACAAAGGGCTTAATATCATACATGTATATAGGAAAGGCAGACTTGGATTTCACATATCCTACTTACCTCTCAGTGACAAAGTTTCACATATGATCATATCTGATAGAATGGAAATAGGGGCAATGGCTTCCTGAAATAATGAATTGCTGCCATTAAAATTTACCTTGCACAAACATATAAAGACCCTATTTTTTCTCTACAAAACACCATATTAAAAACTCACAGAAGTAGTTATGGGTAAAAATTCTGAGAGAATTAATTCAACTAATTCAAATAGCAGGGGCCTGTTTATAACTGGTGTATAGATAGGATGGCAAGACCTCAGGAGCTATCTTGGCTCTTGGGATGACCTTATGGATAATGGATTAAAAGCTAGAAAACTAGGTTCCTGAACTATTCCTTCCAGACTTTTTTTTTTAATGCAAGATAAAATATATTTCTATTTTGTTAAAGTCAATGTTTTTTGTTTTTTATAAAAATATTATAAAAACATTAGATACAACTGATACAGTTTGGAAGTAGGATGTCATAATTAACAGAGCACAAAACTTGGAGTTAATTTTGTGAAAGAGATGGGGCTTTCAGGAATGAGATTTCAAATATTTTGCTGAAAACCTGGCTTCCTTTATCATGCAGAAGGAAGATATTTGTTAGTCTATTGATTTCTGTACACTGGAAAGCTGACTATGAATCGGCCAAGATAATAACTTCAAGGAAAGTTACAGAAAAATTTTACTTTAAAAAAAATCCTATTCATGTTATCTTTTGAAACTGATACTTGAGAGGTCTCACATTAGAAGGAGATCGTTTGGGAAAAGGAAAAGAGAAAAGAGAACAATATGCTGAACAGAAAAAATACGATACCTATTGCTTGAAAAAGACAAAAAGAAGACATAAAATATTAAAGATACTTGCAGTTATCAATGTCAGTTCAGAACATTGACTCAGAAAAACTTGTACCTATTTCCTGTTGATAAACAGCTTTATTCAAGCCCTTTGAAAATTTTTAAGATAAAAATTTGAGATGCTTCAAAGAGCAAATTTGTCATTATAATTACCGGTACTATATACACAGCACAACAAATTTACTGTGTATATTTCACAGTGTTACAAGTGGATGAATTTCAGTTGTCTATGACCAGGCCTTCCCTAGTTTATAATAATAATCTTTTTAGATACATGATCTCACTGGGAATGGAATGCTGTAGTTGATTTTTTTTAATTTGAAAAATGCTTTTGCTGTCTATGTGTTTCATGAGTTTGTGGCATTTATGGAGGGAAAGGATTTGAACTGGCAAAATGTATCCAAGAGAGTTGTAAAGTTTTAGGAAGGAAGGTAGGTTTTAGGAAAATCAGGAAAACTGCAAGTCTGGAGTAAGCTGCTGGTGAAAATACTGAACAAATCAACTAATGTTATTCTAGAGAAAAGAGTAACAATTTGTAATCAATGTAAATTTCAGTTACTACTTTGAATCACATATAGGATTGCTCAAAAGAGTCTTGGAATTAGCCTGGATGTGGAAACAGTGGCATGAAATTTGTCCGCAGTAACAAAAGTAATCCTCCTATATTGTATAAGTATGTGTGTGCTCAGTGGCTGAGTCATGTCTGACTCTTTATGATCCCGTGGATTGTAGGCTCCTCTGTCCATGGGATTTTCCTGGCAAGAATACTGGAGCCAGTTGCCATCTCCTCCTCCAGAGGATCTGCCCTACCCAGGGGCTGAACTCGCTTCACTTAAGTTTCCTGCACTGTAGGCAGATTTTTTACCAGAGCCACCGGGAGTCCATATTGTGTATAACACTCCTTATTGTAACTGACTGACACTGGAAACGTCCCATGCCAACCCAAGAGCCTGTGTTCTGATTATGCAGAGAAGAGCCCCACACAAAATAGCTAAGGAGTTGGAGTGTTTATATTTTTCATGAAATTCAGTTTTCCTGAAGACATCTTACAAAGTTGCATGCTGACCATTCCTTGAATTTAACAGAATACAAGGCATGTCTTATTTTTATGATGGTTGGAGATAGAAAAATAATGTCAATTAAACCTCACTAGCTATACTACCATCTAATTATTATTAAGAATTCATTTCCAGCTGTTTCCACTGACATTATTATAACGTTTTGAAGCTGTAGTAAGATATAATATTTGAATAGATAGCTCAGCTTTGTAGCTATTAGTTTAGTAGTTTAAGAAGGTCAGACTACCATCTCTTTCTTCAATTTGTAACTGTGAAATGCTTCAAAGTACCATATTTTGAAAGGTATCATAGTCTGAGCCTCTTCTTTTTTTTTTTTAATCTGTTATTAAAGTCATGTGCTGCCTCCCAGTGGAGATATTTCAGAGTGCATAGAGAAAAAAAGAAGGCTTCAGGGTATAAACGTGTACATTTTTTTTTTTCTTCATTCTTTCAACAGATACTTACTGCCTGCAACGTGGCAGGCAAAGTGAGAAGTACTGGTAAAATTAAAAAAAAAAAAAAGAGAGAGTCCCTGTGCTGGAGAAACAAGATGTAGAAAACAAAATATACATTGAAACTCACTTGGGAACTTTCTACCTCAAACGTCTATTGATATTTTTATGAATGTTATGCTTAAGATCAAAAGCATAACAACTCTTTCCCCA